CAACTAATACACCAACCAATCAGTTGAAACCTCTACCAATTAAAAAATTTAAACTTAAAAAAAGATGAAGAAGACTGTCAGTCTGTCTGCTGTACAGCTTATAGTAAAAAGACAATTTAAAAATATTTGGGTCGGTTAAATTGTTCATAAAGTTAATTATTTGTATTTTAGTACCTCAGTTGAATATTTGAAAATGTATTAAAATACTGTATACTGCAATTTCTAAGTTGTAAATTTCTATAGTTTTTTAAAACACTTTTTGTTTTTGTGACTTGAAATAATACTGTAATGTTAATAAAATTTACATTTTCAATATCAAGGTAAATGCAATATAAGACAAAACTCTATAAACACTAAACATCTTACATAAAGCATACATAAAAAAAAAATATAAAAGGTTCTAAAAGATCAACAATATTAATTAAAATCACTTCTGTTCATATTGGAATCATATTCATATTGGAATTAAAATATAGTGCCAGTTAAAAACAATTTAGAGTGAACGAAGGCTTACACGTTGGTGTGCAAATATATCAATCAATACCAGCAATGTGTTAATTTTCTTATATCTCCCATCTTAAATTGAATCTGCAGTCTGCTGTAGGAAAAAATATTTCCCCTTCCCCTATAAAATGTTAACTTCCTCCTCACTTCCCCCCCCCCCCTCAAATTTCAGATCCAGGTTGGGACTAGAATAAACCACTGCTGGTCATTGTAGCACAATTGCCATTGGCCACCTTAGCAAAATGGTATCGCCTAGCCTATTCTTCTTTGTTGGTGGTACAGTCCGTTTATTGGTTAAGACAAATTAAGATGAAAGATACTAGAAATACAAGATAGAGCACTCACATAGCAAAAATGAGGTGAAAACTGGTCCAAACGTACGCGGCACTCTTCTCTTTTTATAATGCAAGTTTTCTATACTTGGTCCAGACGTATAGGGCGCCCTTTTGTTGCTAGGTATAACCAGACGCACACGGTGCCCTCCTTTTTCCATTAATGGAAGAAAACCTCGTCACTTGAATCCAAAGGCCGGTCATACGAATCTGCGCTTTTGCGTCTGTCATTTTATTGTTTTGATTTATTTATGCCTACTCAGTTGTATATTATGGATAATGGCAACGATTTCAACCTCCGCAAAAGGAGGTTATGTATTCACAGTTATGTAACGGTGGCAGAAGTTTATTAGATCCAGCCGTACGCGGCACACCATTGTTTGCATTCCCAGTATTCCCACCATGCATTTCAGTGTAAAAAGTTTTTTTTCTGTGGAAACTCGATATTTCTAGTATGTTAAGATCATTGTGACCACTGCTTGGGATTTTTTCGAAGATCTTTGGATTGTTAATGACACCTTGGGATCTTGGGTTTTTTTGTTAAATTTTCATTAAATCTTGGGATTTTTTGAATGATATGGACTTATCAATAAGTGAACAAATAGGCTGCTAATGACAGTTGTGAATAGGGGTTGTTATTTGTTTGTTTAAATAAGGTGTATGTTTTAAGCTAAATCTCTTGATATGTGTCCCATTCGATGGATATGCTGTTTGCTTCAGTGTAGGGTAGTAAAGTTGAGCAAGAAGCATCATTATTGGTATTATTAATTATTATTATGCATTATTTTTTCATTTTTTAAAAATCTTTTAAATTTTCTTTTTTTTTCTCTTTTCCATGTTTATTATGTGATAATATTTATATTATTACCACTATTGTGTATACTACATGTATATAATTGTGTAGTTTATATTTCGCAATTATAATCTAATTTTTCAATATATCTTCATTTTTAAGGTGCCACATTTCAAAAGCCTTGCTTCTTGTGGTGGCCATTT